TGTTTTGAATTCTTTATGAGGGAGTTCCAACACTGCATCTTCCTCAGGGATGTGTTTTGGGTCTCTATCCTGGTCCCTTGTTTCTCCTCAGGGATGTGTTTTGGGTCTCTATCCTGGTCCCTTGTTTCTCCTGCTTTATTTTGCTTCTTTGTGAGGACTGTGATGGTCTGTTGTCCCCGAGGCATTGTGACGTTTTTGTGTTTATATTTAATTGGTGAGTGTATGTTGGAGTGACTTGACCACAATTTTTGTTTTCTTTGTTGTGTTTATATGTAATCTGTACAGGCAGCGTACTGTGCTGTGCTCCTCTATTCACTAGTTGACAGCACTTATACACTCACCACCTGTCTCCTTTCCTTTGTCAGCCTCTCCTATGTCCTTGCCAACCCTGGCAAACAGAGACTGTTCTTAGGTTCCTGGAATCCGAATGAGAAAGCTATCACTTTAAAATCCAAAATTGGAGAGAGGCACATATTTTAAAAGTAAAAGTAAAAAAAAAAAAAAGACAAAGTGGGGGCAAACAAGAACAAGACAGGTCATGTCTTTTATATTAACAATATTTATCCCATCCCCCCACAAACAAAATGATATAACCAATAAATACTACAAAACAAATGAAATCAAGAGGACTTGATGGGCCTGAAAATTAGAAATGGCCCTTGAGAGTGAGTCACCAGACCTGCAGGCTCAGGACCATGGTCTCAGGGGACATCAAGCTCAATTGGTACAACATAGTACATACAAATCTTCTTCTAAGTCCTGCTTGGATGAGTAGCAACAGGATCTTAAAAACTTTTGAGCAGCCATCTAAGATGCAACTATTATCTCCCATTGGTCTGGAGCAAAGAAGAATGAAGAAAATCAAAGTTATGTGAAAACAATTACTCCAAAGGTCTGAAGACCAGAAGAACTAGATGGTGCCTGGCTACCAATGCCAGCCATGCCAAAAGGGAACAAAATTGGAGATCCTGGCTACAGCGGGAGGAAAAATGTGGAACAAAATTCAAAAACACAAAAATGACTAGAATTTCTGGTAGGATAGAAACTGGTGGAACCTCTAAGAATATGGCCCCACATTATCCTTCAGGCCTGGAAATGGACTCACTTCCATGGATTAGCTCTCAGCCAAACAGGAGAAAGGCCTATAAGCAGAACAATTACTCCAGGAAGATGCACCCCTTAGATCAATCAACAATGAGAGAGTAGAAGGGCAGCCATTTGCAGAGAGGGAAAGCAAGACAGATAGGAATGCATAGATAAGAAAGACAGATGGAAGGGGTGGTCAAAGGAAAGAGATGGAAGGAGAGCTGTTTATTGTTGGGATTATAACCAGGGCTGTGAAACAAAATGTATGTGATCTGATGGAGTAAAATGTATCTACTTTGTAAGTTTGCACCTAAATCACAACAAAAAATTTTAAAAAAAGAAATGACCCATGGAAAAAACAATCTATGTAACCAATGCTACTGAACAATTTGTGTAGAAATTACTAAATGGAAACCTAAATTGCCGTGTTAACCTTCACCAAAAACACATTATTTAAAAAGCATCAATCTACACAAAAAACTTTCACACAAAGTCCATTACAACATTATTCTAATATCCACCAAAGTGGAAACAAGTCAAATATCCAGCAACTGATGAATGGATAAATAAAGTAATGTAACCAGCCAGTGGAACAGTAAAAACTAGTTGCCATCAAGTTGCACCCACTCAAGGAGACCTAATGTGTGTCAGAACAGAATTGTGCTCTACTGGGTTTTCAATGGCTTAGTTTTTTGAAAGTAGATCACCAGGCCTTTCTTGCCAAGAGTTTCTGGGTGGACTCAAACCTCCAACCTTTTGGTTAGCAGCAGAGTACATTAACCATTTGTCTCACCCAAGGAATAATACTGGGTCACATGGATAAAACTTGAAAATACTGGGCTGAGTTAAAAATGCTAGACACAAAAAGCTTACTTATATTGCATGATTCCATACAATATCACCATCATATACTGTAATATTCCACTTATATGAAATGCTCAGAATCAATAGAGAAAGAAAGTAGATCAGTGGTTGCCTAGACTGGGGAAATGGGGAATAACTGCTAATGGTTAACGTATTCCTTGTGGGAGGATGATGAAAAAGTTCTAAAATTGACTGTGATGATGTGTGTACATTTTGTGAATATACTAAAAACCTAAAAGACAAAATCCAATACTTTAAAGGGTTGGATTGCCTGGTATGTGAACTACATCTCAATAAAGCAGTTATAATAATAATAATAAAATCAGACTTTATTCCTTCATCCTGAAAGGCCTCTCCTAATCATCCCAGTTCAATTCCTTACAGACCTTGAGAATGTAAGAGAAGACAGGATACAGTGCAGAGCAGAAGGATTTCACTGACATACAGATTGTGGGATTCAGTGATGCTGGAGTGAGAAAGTTCTCTTGTGATGGCTTCAGTTTTCACAGTTAAATAAGACATGAGGTCATCTACTTCTAGCCAAGATGGGAGTAACAGTGACAGAATTTATCTTCCCTTTTAAAGCAACAGAAAAATGAATAAACTGAAACAACAGTTTTCAAAACACAAGACATCAGGCAACAAAGAATAATGATCCCAGAAAGACATGAAACTTATGAGGTAAGCCTTACAATTGCCCCAGCATACTACCTTGGAAGAAGTTCCAGGCTACAGTGCACACGGTGGGAACACAAGTGGAATCCAGTGGATTCAGAGAACTTAAGGGACAAAGATGACAGTGAGGAGAGCTTAAGGTAGCTAGAGTGTATATATAGGACAGAGTGCACAAAAGAGATGGCTACACAGAGAAAAAACTCTGGACAGCCAGAGGATTTCCCCCATCAAGTCAGCTGAGTTCTAGACCAAAGTATAGATGTGATTAAACTGGGAAAATAACCATCTGAAAGAAGTAAGAATGTGCATCACACTGGGCTGAAAACAATGCCTATTCCTGCTAACTGACTGGGAAACCTCATGATTCACAGAGCCCTGGGCACACTGGTCAGAGTATAGAAAAAGGTTTTGTCAGTGGTAGGGAATAATCAATCCTAGAATGAGCACTGTTCCACTCATACCTAAAGCCTCAAAAGCAAGATATGAAAGGCTCAAACTGTTTTCAAGCAACTTAATTTTATCTCAGAACAAAAATAAAAATATTTATAGAAACACAAAAATACTAAGCACCCAAAAACTAAAATTTAATCCGATCAAAAATTATTATGCACGATAAGAACAGAAAACATGATCCATTATGATCCAAATACCAACCAACAGAAACCAATCCAGAGCTGACAAAGGGTATTAAAATAAACCAACAAAAGCACTCAAATCATTATCATAACTGAATTCCACATGTGCAAAAAGTTAGGTAGAGACATGAAAAATATAAAAAAGACTCAAAGAGAACTTCTGGCAATGAAAACTGTTTGAAACAAAAAATACACTTCATGGAATCAATGCCATATTAGACATTGCAGAAAACTAGTAAAAATGAAAGTCTCCAAAATGAAACACAGAAAAAAAAAAAAAAAAGCTCAACAGAAAGAATACATGGTACATGCATACAATGGAATATTATTTAGCCATAAAGAGAAATGAAGTTCTGATATGCACTATAGTATAGATGAACTGTGAAACATTACACTATGTGAAATAAGTCAGAAAGAAAAGGATAAATATGGATCCACACTTCTCTGAAATATCTAGGGAATGGATAGAGAAGTTTATTGGTGGCTATCAGGGACTGGGAGGAAGGAGGAATAGGGAGTTACTGTTTAAGTGGTACTAAGTTTGTGTTTAGGGCAACAGAAAATTAAAATTTTTTTTTAAATAGTGGTAATGGTTATACAACATGATGAACGTAATTAATATCCCTGAATAATACACTCAAAATAGGTTAAAATGGCAATTTTTTTTTTCCTATAGATATTTTACCACAGTGAAATTACTAAACAAAACAAAACAAGATGGGCAGAGGATCAGTGAACTGTGGGGCAACTTCAGATGGATTAGTAATATATGGCATGACTACAGACCTGAAGGAGCTCTGGTAGCATAGTGGCTAAAGCACTTGACTGCTAACCAGAAGGCTGGCGGTTCAAACCCACCAGTCACTCCTCGGAAGGAAGGCTGGGCAATCCTACTTCCGTAGTGATACTGCCTCGGAAACCCAAGGAGGGGTCGCTATGAGTCGGGGCTGACTCGACGGCACATAACAACAACAACAACAACAACAGACCTGAAGGAGAAGAACATGGGGAGGGACAGGAGTGAGGGAGATGATAACAGAGATTCTCAATTTTCTTTCTTCCAAGCCATTCTTTCATACTCCAAAATTTCTTTCCCAAATACCTACTTTCTTCAAGTTACTCACTATGTATACCAAACCAAAAAAACCAAATTCACTGCCACTGAGTCGATTCTGACTCATAGTGATCCCCTCCTCCAGTGGGTTTCCAAGGCCATAAATCTTTATGGAAGTAGATTGCCCCATTTTCCTTCTGCCGAGTAGTTGCTGGGTTTGAACCGCTGAGTTCTGCTTTATCCACTACAACCACCAGAGCTCCTTACTATGTATACAGATAGCATGAAATCCTCATCGTTTCCAAGACTCTCAAATTTGGCCTAAACTATTCTTATCTACCACTATACTCCCCTTTTAAGTCTCAAAATCTATCCAAACTATCTTACTCTAAATTACACATTAATATTTCCATCTCTGTATTGATATAATTCACTCTACAAATAACCTTCTCCTGGCTAAATATTATTCACCTTCAGGAACTGCTCAAGCATTACATTCTTTATCATGATGGATCCCTGAAAGGTCCTTTTCCTATCCTCTCACTTCTGCACCCATGAGTAAGCTTAAAGTAGAAAGAAGAAAATAAGAAGCATCCTGTTTAGCTGAAGAGTTAATAAGCCATTATCAACAGAAGTAAAATAAACTCCATACTCTATATGAAAATGAATCCATAAAATAGCTTTACCCATTTCACTATTTTCAGGCAGAGATTCATATTCTGAATGATCCAGAGCCAAAGTGTTCATATCTGTTTGGTCTGACTCCTGTAAATGTGGTATTGCTGCACTCTCATGACTTTTGTCACCATCGCCATTGCCATCCAACCCTAAAATTAGACATTTTATGCCAAAAGTCAGAGTTAGAAGAGTATTTTTCCCTTTTTATAAAATAATCCTATACTTTGTAGTTACTTGAAGGTTTCAATTTGTAAAAGACTTCTTGACCCTTAAGTTCTGTCACAAACAATGATAAATTTTATTACTTCTTGAAAATGGATTAAAATTAAAATAGAGACAAATGCTTCAGAAAAGAAAAAGATGTTCTTAATCAGTGATTCATATTCAATACTTACCCTCTTTGCAGCAATCTGGAGGATGGTCAGATATTTCTTCCCAAGTTTGACTCACACTGCCATCAGTTGTACTACTTGCTTCCAAATGTAGCATATGATTCCCCCATACTTTTGCATTAGGGTTTAGCTCTGAAACCTTGGTGGTTGGTGTCTAGAAAAGAATATGAGATATATATATATACACACACACACACACATACATATATTTGTATCAAAATTTCAACCAAATGAAATTTCACTTATTAAAGCAGACTTAACATGCACCTGTGTTACCAGAATGTAGACTAAAAAGTCTAAGCCTACCTATTCACACATACCTTTGGGACAATATTAAGATTCAAAAGTAACAAAAGTTGATGCATTCTGAACTGAATTTAATTCACCATTATACTTTTAAGTTCCTACAATGTACTGCACTCTCTGAAAGCTGGGTAAGAAAAGACGTAAATGTCCCTGCCCTTAAGGGATTTCAGTGTCTTATAAACCAAATAAGGAGCTCTGATGGTACAGCAATTAAGGCATTTGGCTGCTAACCAAAAGGTCAGTGGTTTGAACCTGCTAGCCACTCTATGGAAGAAAGATGAGGCAGTCTGCTTCTATAAAGATTTACAGCCTTGGAAACCCAATGGGGGTTGCTATAGGTCAAAATCGATTTGATGGCAGTGAGTTATAAACTAAGTAACTGTATAATTATTAAATAACTGGTAACTTAACTATATCTCTTTTCTAGACAACATAATACAAACCACAATTCATAGATTTATAAATTTGCTAATGACTACCATGCAAATTCAAGTACAATGTAGATGGATAAAATTGCAGTTATACAGCTTCAAAAATTCATATAAGCAATGGATGTAGAAAATGAGAGATCTTCATAAATACAGAAGGTCTTCTAATAGGTCTGTCAGAGAGCCACTATAAGCAAGGAGAAAGCTATAACTCCCATTGAATAAGAGGATAAAATATTTTAAATTTTCAATATAACTAGATGTTCCCATTCCTGAAAGAGCTTTGATATCACCTATGGAGCTTTTTCAAAATACAAATTCCCAGTGCTACTGAGTAAGAATCTGCAAGGGCAGAGACTATGCAGTTTTCAAAAGCTCTTCAGGTAATAATTCTGATGCTGCTAGTCCAGTGTTTTGAAATGTGCTTTCAGATGGCTGGAGCTTGAGACTAAACTGTGCTGATTACAGCTGTATAATTTCAGGTTAGTTACTTAACCTTGGAAAATCTCACCTGGAAAAATGAGCTTAACAGTTCCTATATTACAGAGTTGTTGAAATAATACATGTAAAGCACTTAGCAAAAATTATTAGCTATCATTACAATAGTGTTCAGTAAGTTAGACTATGTTAGTCCTCTGCTACAAACCCTGTCATGGATTGAATTTTATCTCCTCCCTCCCCCAAAAATGTCATGATTCTCAGTGGTTTGGCAATTATGCAATGATATAATCAGGCAGTTTTCCCACGATATGATCTGATGTGATCAACCAGTTTTAAGATTAGGGTGAGAGGAAGCACCCTACTCAGGCCACAGCACTGATCCGATGTAAGGGGCATTTCCCTGGGGTGTGGCCTGCATCACCTTTTATCTTACAAGAGATAAAAGGAGAGAGAAGAAAACAGAGAAGGGGGACCTCAGTATCACCAAGAAAGGAGATCTGAGAATGGAATGTGTCCTTTGGCCCTGGGGGTCCCTGTGCTGAGAACTTCCTAGAACCAGGTGAAGACTGATGCCAAGACACATGGAGATCTCCAAGGAATACCAAGCCCAGAGATGTTAAAAGGAAACAAAGACTTTTGCCCAGAGCTGACAGAGAGTAGAAAGCCTTCCCCTCAAGATGGTGGTGCCCTGAATTCGTACTTTTAGCTTCCTAAACTGTAAGAGAATAAATTTCTGTTTGTTAAAACCATCCACTTGTGGTACTCTTTTCAGCAGCACTAGGGAACTAAGATACCTTCCAAAGGTTGCCCATCTTATTCAGAGACCTCACATGATCTCAACACCACCACCACCCCTCCCCACTATTTCTCTAACCTTGTTTATTCCCTATTACCCTGATCTCTGCACTACTTTTAAACACACCAGGCACTTCTGCTCTAACTATTCCCTTTGTCTAGTATTTTCTTCTACCAGATATCCATATTGCTCACTCCTTCATTTTCTTTGGGCATTAATGAGGTTGATCCTGATGTACCTTATTTAAATCCACAACAGTTGTCCCAAACACAGTGATACTCCCCTGCCATTCCACACTTTTGTCTAGTATTTTTCTATTACATGGATATAACCCTGATGTTCCTATGCTTATGAACTTTTAACGGCTCCCCATGTTTAAACAAAAGTCAAATGCTCTGGTAGCAATTACTCCCCAAATTTACTCTATTTTCATCTCCTAATCCTTTAATAAAGGTAACAGATTAAGTGCTTTTTTCAGGTGTACGATAAGCCTTCATACCACCGTGCTGTTACAGCTTCCTAATTAAGGAACAACAGGACTGGCCACAACTTTCCTTAATATAGCCAGGAAGGTCTTGAAGGGTCCTCAGCCAAATGCTTCTGGTGAGAACAACTCCAATGTATTATTCTAATGTAGAATAGAAATATTATTTTCTGTGTTCCAATAAATTGTGAGAAGGATTAGGAAGCACCTAATAAGCTATCAAGTAAATAATGTATAGATTAAAAATTTAAAAAGACAGATTAAGAAGTATTTGATACAATATCTTTCTCCTAGGATTTTCAATAATGTACTCATAAAACTCATTGTCATCAACTCAATTCTGACTCATAACGACCCTAGAGGAGAAAAATGGTGCCATGTGGTTTCCAAAGCTGTAATCTTTACAGAAGTAGACTGCCACATCTTTCTCACACAGTGGGGCCAGTGGGTTCCAACTGTCAATTTTTTGTTAACAACCAAGCACTTAACCACTGTGCCACCAGGCATATACAGGAATAGGAGATTTACTGTGCTTAGGGAGAAACTCGATTTGGTGATAAATGATGATGTAAAGTATGATACAGACCAGAGCTAATAAATTCAAATTAGCTTGCATGTTAAGGATTCCCACAAAAAACATAAAACTACCTTGAAATTCAGAGTAGAAAGCTGATGTAGTTAAAACTACAGAATACAATAATGATTACCTATCTGGATTTTTTTTCTTTTTAAGTACTGGTCACAAGGTGAAAAAACAGAGCTCTCTTTCTTCTTCAAGAATACTATGCTCTGAAGGGATGGGCACGGGAAGAGTTAACTATGGGGAGGAAGTAGGAGGGGAGATGTTGCATTGTGGTAAATTGTGGTCAATGTCATGAGACAAAGTGTATGCGAACTCCTGTATGGTAAGTGTATTTGCTCTGTAAATTTTCACCCAAATCACAATAATAATAATAAAAAAGAATACTATGTTCAAGAAACACTGATTCTTCAATTTCCTTTCTTACATTACATCTAAACTTCCAGCTCATTTTGGCTTCTGCTTCTGCACAGAATTCCTTTCTCTCTTTTTTTTTCTCCCAACCCCCTTAGGCATTCACCCATCCAATAAACACCTTCTAAATGCTAAGTAACCAAACATACCACTAAGTAATTAGAATATGATGGTAAACAAAACAGACACAACCCTTGCCCTTATGGAGCAAACTGGGAGGTGCAAAAGATACTTCCTATTTCATATAAACCACTACCTTCACCAGCATTTGTACCTTTTAAATCTGCTTTGGTGGTGCAGTGCCTAAGGCATTTGACTGCTAACTAGGATGGCAGTTCAAACCCACCAGCCACTCAGCAGAAGGAAGACAGGGCAACCTACTTGTGTAAAGATTTACTACCTCAGAAACCCAAAGAGGGTCACTATGAGCTGGAATTGACTCGATGGCACTGAGTTTGGTTTTTGGTTGCTTTGCTTTTTTAAAACTCATTCTCTATTCCTTTTCCTACTGTAATATTTCACCTCCCTGTTCTCTTGAAAAATCACTCAAAAACACTGTAACTTATTCCTTTATTTTAGAAATACTGCTGGTAATCAATAGGTGCTCTGGTAGCATACTGCCTAAGGCATTTGACTGCTAACCAAAAGGCTGGTGGTTCAAGCCCACCAGCCACTCCTCAGAAAGAAGGTTGGGCAATCTACTTCCATAGAGATACCACCTCAGAAACCCAAGGAGGGGTCGCTATGAGTCAGGATCGACTCAACAGCACTGAGTTTGGTTTATAGCTGCTAAAGAGTTCCTGGGTGTTGAAAATGGTTGAATACTGACTAGCCACTGAAAGGCTGGCAATTCAAACCCAACCAGAGGCACCTTGGATTTGCTTTCAAAAGGCACAGCCTCAAAAGCCCTATGGAGTCCAGAGTTCTATTCAGTACACTTGGCAGTCCATGAGTTGAAATCAACTCCATGACAACTGGTTTTACACCTGATAAACACTCAAGGACTATTCTTAACTATGCCCAACCATTTCTGCTCCCACCAGGTAAGGTACATGCTTATCATTCCTGTTGTGTTTGTTCCCAACTACTGAGGGTAGTTATATCTTTTTCTATCATGATTTAATTAATTAAATGTAAAAGGAAAGCTGAATGCATTAGAAAAACTAGATAAATACAGTCACTAAAAGAATTTCCTTTTGAACTAGGCGTTGAGTGAGGAAAACTTTTTAGGCACTTGCTCCTGATTTAATAGGTTTACGCACTCAGCAACTGCTTCACTAGGATCTAAAGTCATAAATGAACTAAACTCATAAATGAAGCATTAATGGAATAGCTCAGACAAGAAAGTCTACACAGAATTCCAAAGTAAAGAACCGTATACAAAAGACTTTGGCTCCATGCTAAAAGACTGGCAAAGAAATATATACATATTTTCTCAAGGTATGTATTGTATATATCCATTTTGGTTAGTTTTAAATCAATTTCTCATTTTAACTGATTTTCAATAAATTGCTCCCAATTGCATCATAAAAGAGTTTCTACCTTACATACTCCTTTGGTTAAGTTTCACTTGCTTGGATATAAAGCTGTTTCTTTTCTCTGATAATATAAAATGAGTAAAAGAAAACTGAATAATCTACTTACATCTGAAATTCTTTCCTGAGAGATGTTAGGTCACAAATCCCCCTCCTCTCCTTGAAATGCC